AAATTATCATTACGCTTCTTGTTAAGTACTGTTATTCCATTACATACAAAATTCTTGTGAAGCTGTTCATTTCATCAGCATTAATTGCTGTTTATTGCTCGCTACTGATTAATTATTTACTTTAAGTGCTTTTTCTAACAAAAATTTTCGCTCACTTAACGAAACATCTCAAATTTTGACGTCAATTTGTTGTCAAATATTCAAAATCAAATAATTAATAACAAACGTGGACCTTAACATTTTGAAATGCCTTACATTTGGTTAAGCAACATTTTGAAATGCCTTACATTTTGAAACATTTTGAAAATGCCTTACACATGATACCTCACAAATTTGCATACATTTCAATTACACACAAAGAGTATGGTGGCTTTTTTGGGATATTATTCAACTTACAAACAACATTTGACGCCATTTTTGTGGTTTATAATAGCCAAAAGGTTTATAACTTGAAGGTACCAAGCCACACGATGCATTCATCTCACCACCGACCCATAAACAAGCTACTTGCAAATTATAATTGCTAGCATTTTGAAGAAAGAATCCGCTGATACGATATTCAGCACATAGAAAATCACGATATTGCAATGAGCGACGAAATTTTGCCGATCTGCAATAATGTTTTCCGCTTACTGCTGTCATAAAGCTCATTATGTGAGATAAAGATTTATAACATATAATTAATTATAATAATATATAAAACCAACTATTCTGATTCACGCACTATTCAAGCTTCAAAATAAGTGGAATTTTTGCAAAGATAAAACTATCTAAATGCATGATCAAAAGCTGAATTTTCCACTACAATTAATAATTTGCTCTTAAGGACAATGCTTTTATAGTTAGATTATTTTTTTGACAACAACGATGAAGTTGAATATAAATTTAGACTAACTCGAGAATATAGCCATCTTCTCGTGCTAAGTTACCCAATTTGACTAGATTTCTCACATGCTCGCGTAATTCAAGCCATTTTATGCGATCCGCCTCAGAACAACGTAAATGATGTGTACATTCTAGATATAATGAAGCGCCTAAAAAAGCAAACGTTAAGTACAAATTATCTCAATTTCAACAAACTTATTTTTTTTAAGCGGCCAGCACTTTTTCAATTACATAAATTTCAAATTCTGTAGTAAATATCTCATGCAATTTTAACATTATATACCAATCGGACCAAATCCACTCCTTGTTATTTGACACAAGCCAATCAAGAAAAACCAAACCACCAGCATAAACGATTAAGTATAAAATGACATATTGAATTTAGTGAATTGCCTTTTAATTACTTAGCGATATGCTAACTTTTTTAACAGTTTGAAGTAAACAAAGAAAGTCAATCAATTATTATGAGCAAGAAAAATTATTCAAATTAAAATATACATGTACAAAGTGAAATTTTACATTTTTCATTCCTGTTCTTATCGAGTATCAAGCATCGCCCTTTCGGAATGAAAGTAAGATACAATCTTCTGAATACTGCTTCGACTTTTTTTCATGTACATTGTATGTTCTTTCCTCCCGAGATAAATAACCTGAAAGATACGAAAAAGAAAAACATCTTATCATATTAAACATCAGAAGAACTATTTCACCTCCGATTTACTGTGACACGAACTATCCTCAATTTCTGAATGATAAAACAAAAATCACAAGTCTCAGATTTTTCTGAAAAATTGTATTTCAGATTTATTGAACACTCAAAAAAGTTTGAAATTTTCATTAATTTATCACATTTTCACACTACATGAACATCAAATTATAATCAAAAATACAACAAATACACTACAAATTAAAAAATTAAGAGAAGCTTTATCTTACGCGATGAGAACTTCTATGATGCTCATCAATAATTTCAAAATATTTGTAAGCAAAAATCAGAAATCCGATAGATCTAAAAGACTATATCTTGAAACCCATGAAGAACCTTTTTGAATAATTTTGAATACAAAAAAATTAGAATTAAACGAATGCCTATAATTTAAGGACTACATAGCAAAAAAATTTTTAGGAAATAAGCAAAATCTACTAAATACTAGAGCCTAGCACATTAGCATATCAATTTATCGAATTTGATATGTCCAAAAATAAAGAAAAATAGATTTAAGATGAATAAATACGTTTAGTGATTACTTTGTCAACAAAACACGAACTCCGCAACAGATTAAGTTATAGGTCAAAATACGAAATAAATAATGAATACTGTAGAAGAAAAACAATTTTCTTAAAATCTAAAAAAGATTATTGGACTTTTTTAATAATATCTGTACGCTAAAAATTTTATCTTCCACGATTTTTGAACTGAAACGGAGATAATGAAGGAACCAATAAATTACAAATGGAGGAGGAAATCAACTTCATTAGTATCTAAGAACATGTTAAGCATTATTCTTTCAAATTTAATAATTTCTAACTAATAAAATATTTGTAGAAAACATGATTGGAATTACTTTAGAAAATGCAATCTAAAGTAGATGTAGTTGATTCAGCCAAGTAAATCTAAAAAATCCAATTTATTCAGCGAAACTACATTACATTTTTTTCGAATGATTCAATTTGAGAATTCATAACATGCCAAAATCAATTACATTCGCCTACTTTTGAGTACTGTTGATAAAAGCTACTGAATCATATAGACATTCTTTAATTTTAATCCAAGAATAATGAGAAAAAAACACTAGTGTGAGATCAGGTATGCATATATGAAATATTCCAAATCAAGTTTTAACAATTATTAGAAGAACTAGCAAAACAATGATTGCAACCGATAAAATAAAAATACAATACATTTTCTTGTCATTTCGCTGATACCTTTCAGCTCGTTGAACACTCGATAAAGCCGATTTAACTTTTAACGTTGCTTGTTCAACATTGTAATCAATCCGATCCAAAATAGTCCCCTTAAATCGAAACACGGTTCAATATTATGACAAAATTTTAACTTTCACCAACATTCATTTGAAAAAAGCTAAAAAAAACATGATTTAAAAACAGATGAAAAAAATTTAAGGCACCATGAAATTATTACTTACTTTTTGAGCAATTCACAATATCTTTAACAATTATATAGCTAGCTTTATAAATTACTTTTAATAAAACTAAATCCACATTTCAACATTCAAAAACTTTGCAAGATTTAAGATCATATGCATAAGTAGGACAACTATTTTTGAATCATTACTTGATCAACAACCATAGAAGCGAGATCCTTGAATAAAGAATTTAATTCAACAATTGATTTACTGACGCTCATAACATCATGTTCACGTTCTTTGACCATATCAGCATTTTGCAACAGCAACTGTATTTGTTCCATCGTAAGACCTAGAATTTTCAGCACTGCAGGGTAAAAGAGCACAGTAACAAACGACAAAGCATTAATGTAACCATTTTTTTTAAATCACTACAATTATATTATTCAACAATATTTATCTTCACGAAGTTTCTTGGTCGCATATTCTAGATTTAATAAAAAGTCTTTCATAAATTAACATATTATGTGATATCACTTAGCGTAAGATATATTTACATGACAAAGATTAGAAAATATTAAAGAATAACGAAGATTTACCATCTCGTGATTCATCAATCGGTGCGTCGTCGAGTACTTCTGTGTTTACCCAATCACTAGAAGCAAGCAAATACGAATTCACAATTTCTTTGCGAGCTTCAATTTGTTTTAGAAACTTTGCCTGATTTGTTCTGAAATCTCCAGCCAAATAACTCAATACCAGCCGCAATGACAAAACTACATTTTTACGCAGCTGAGACTGTTGAAAGCTTTCGAAGATGTTTGCTTTTTCAATAAAGCTGAAAACAAATGATAAATTACGAAGAATTCAGTGACTGATTTATAAAATGTATTTCTCAAGTATTAAAATATTCAAAATGAAAAAATACAAAATAAATCAAATTAAATACCAAACGAACAATAAAATAAAACTTTAACAGTAGCTGTTGGCTACTAATTATGAATAAAAATGATGTACTCAATCAAACGTTGGCAATGAGTAAACATTTTTGTGATTTCATCAGTACTTTCATCTATTTCTGTTTGTGCTTCTGAGTCTTCTACAAAACTTGATTTAGATATATGATTCTGTTGCATTTCCCGAATTCGTTTTAGACGTGATCGTATCCTCAAAAATTTGTGAAAGTGAAAAATTGCAAGAATGAATATAAAATGAACCAGGCTTATTTGTTCCGCAAATAATTTCCGCATCAAAACTCAGTACTTAACAAATCAGGAAACTGCTCGAATGTTCGATAGTAAAAAAGCTCTAAACGACAGTAGGTGTACTGCTAAAATAATAATATGAGATAGTTGAAAACGAAGCATAATTTCCATTTTTCAAATAATTTTAAGAAAAATTCATCTTAAATTACATGTCATTTGTTACTTATCAATCTGCTACAACACGATATTTTTCAAAATTTTACTTGTACCATGAACAGCACTTGCAAACCAAATATCATTCTAAAATAGTTGAGAAATAATGTTAGTAATTTCCAGAGAAGTTGAAAACATTACTACAGAATGTAAATACCTTGTTATTTCATACTGTGCTTCATCAAGATAATTAATCCATTCAGGTGGTACACGACTAGAACCAGACACTTGAACTGTCCCATTTTCTTCATCCAGTGTAACTAGCGATAACTTCTCATCTGAAAGGTAAGTCAAATAAAAAACAAAGCTATACTAAAAGCTTTGTACTAATCTATTTCTTTTATTTTTCATACATTCTAAATAATACTAAATGGTACACTTTTAAGCAACCAAACCAAATGAAGAAAAATTATACCCTTTATTTTAACAAAACTGAGTCAGTGGAACAAATTCTTATAAATAACTTTGTTCGTCAAGATCCGTCTTTAAAGCACGTTAACCCTCTTATAAAGTAATCCTTTGACTAACTTAGCAACGACTTTACATCAAACACAAATCACTTGCTTTCCGATTTAAGTACATCTTTCCATATATATATTTCTACTTCAGACTTGAACAAAACGATGCCAAAGCAAATTTAAGCTATTAAACTATTTCAGTATTAAGGAAACTGTTTCTAAACAATGTGAATAAATTATTAACAGCTAGTTATCATTTGTCAAATTTAAATAAAAATAATTATTAATAGCAAAAAAAACAGAACTAACCAGCAATATTTGAAATATTATTAGCATACACGAATTTGCTCTGTTGTGCATTATTACGTAAAAGAATAAATACTTCGGTGAGATTACGCGTGGTACCTGTAGGTGGCTGCACACTTAGCGTTCCCATCGACAGTATTTTCTGAAGAAGTTAAAAATTTTGGTTACTCATGAATTAATATGAAAAAAATTGAATATATTAGTGAGAATAATTTTTATATAATAAGTTGTCATACATTTTTTTCAAATAAAATTTATTAAAAAGTTACATCTTTATTAAACAATTAGGGTGTTCGTTCGGCACAATGAAATATTTAATAATGGAACGAAAACTTCTTGAAGCAAATGCTTTATTATATTTACGCATCACTTCGTACTTCATAAATTTCAATTAATTCACAAGTAAGCAGTATGTAACTTAACTTTTTAATTCTATTTTATGATTTTTTTAAAATACTTTACAAATATTTGTTTTTCAGCAATTTTTTCAGATTACTGCTATTAAACACTAAATTTCTGCATAAACTTTTTTTGGCACAGATCTAATTATTTTTTATTTCCAAATAAGTGATTTTTTTTAACAAACGCAAACCAAATGTCTACTATTTGTCTTAAGAAAAGAATTAACTTAAATTTTATATCTAAAAATTTTAAAAGTGTAAAGACTTTTTGAGAGTTAAATAACAGATCATTTCTGCTTTTAGCAGCTACTATAGACTAAAACTATTACAATAACCTTGTCTAATATTTACATCAATCAAGCACATAATCTAAGTTCGCTTCTCATAGTCAACAAAAGCACTTTATTTCTTGCACACCGGTACCGAAAGATGTGCAAATTGTATGTATTAAGACAATCAAAATTTATTTTCTACTCAAATTTTTTCAAAATAAACAAAAATTAGCATATTAACTGGGGAGTTTATAGTATAATTGATAAATTCGACATTCCTACCAAAATTTCTCGTGAGGAAAGTCACAGTCAGTCTGAAAATGACTATAGTATTATGCTTTTCGAGTAAAATATTTAGTTTTTGTCCGTTCTGTAAATTATGCTAATGTTGACAAGGAAACGATAAGTAAGCTGATAAAGAGCTGATGAATTACATTACTGCATAATTATTCTGTAATTATAAATAGGTCAAAAATGACATGTTGTGCATAAATCTCCTTCAAATATTTCAAAAATAAATTATTTTGACCTTGACTTTCACGTTTTCATTCATAATTTTTAGACAATATTTTTGAAAAAATATTTGACTATACAAATTTTGCCATTCTTAGTACTTAAATTTCATTATATAGAGGCAAATAATTTTAAGAAAGGTTTTTTTTTATTTTGAAAAAATGGTAATTTTTTCTCAACTAATTGCCTCAGTTAATTATCCAACGATAGAAATTTAACGATTGTTTTCAAAATTTCTTTTTTCTGAAGTTATTTTGATACAATTTATCTTGACAAGGCAGTGTAAACTGATGACTGAGCGATACTGAATTAACTGAATTCTGTATTTGAATATTTGTTAAGCATTGCAAATTTTTTCATTTTTTACTTCAAAAAATTGGAAAAAAAGAATAGATCAAAGGAGAAGAATAAAGTTTACTGAATGATTAAATATGTAATCAATTATCTAAATAATCAGAGTAATTAAATTATAACCGATTAGCACAGTATCTTTATTGCTGCATTGTGATTATTAATAAACACTTTATGCAAATATAAATAGAGAAGAGAGGTTATTACATTTTCACAAGCTATACTTGTAATGAAAACTTATCAAAAATGCATTATTTATTCTCGAAGACTTGAAAATTACTTCATTTAAAAATTAAATATTTGTGTAATAAATATGGAGATATTTCCAAATAAAGTTAAATAAGCACTAAATTAGCATAATCTGGCATGATATTATCAACGACTTAGCATTAACAGCAGTAACTTGCTTATGTGGTTCACATGAAATGGCACTTTTGTGCTTACTTTTATATTTTCGTGAATTATTTCAATCTGTTATTCAGGTTTTTGTTCAAGTTTTGTGTTATTTCAATAACAAATTAGAATGCTTTCTTAGAAGAAATTGTTTGAATATTATTCCTTATGTATACTGATGTAAGCATCGCAAATGAAAGACATTTTTTTAAAATTACCAAATAAAACTAACGAAATTTCATTTATTAATTCACAGTTTTCCGTTATTTCTGCTAAAATTTCAGCTAAATGACAAATAATTTTTGCTTTAAAAGCTGTTTTCTAAGCTGGAGTTGTGAGGGAAAGAATTACTTATAAGTTCTTTTCTCGGCCATGTTAGAATGCAAGCAAGTTTAGCTATCACAGTAAGCTAAATTTGTGATTTCAAAAAATTTCTAGACAGTCATTAAAATCATAAAAAGATTTCTTGTTAATATCTAAATTAACAATTAATATTATCAGTTTCACTAAATTTGTTTGCTAATTAATCGAAATAAAATCTTTGCATTTCTTGCACCCCACTTCAAAGTTCACGCAGGTTCAAGTTCAAGGGATATTGATTACTGAAACATACGATCGTAACTTACTTGTAAATATTATTCGTAGCTTTTTAATACTTTGTTTGTTTTCTGTTTCATCAAACACTTGAAAACTTCTCGTTATCTTTAAATTAAATTTTGAAGTGCACATAACTGAAAGCAATTCGTTTGTTTTCCATTTTGGTAGCTAGCTCATTTCAGTTCTTAAATTGGATCAATCCAGCGATGAAGTTTGGAAGTAAACTTAGTTCTCGTCACTATACAAATTGTTTATTTCAAGAGAGATCAGAATCTCTTATTGATTTCTTTTTTTGAAATATTTTCTGCTCAGAAGTTTCGATCGCAGAAAGTACCTGCTAACTTGTTTACTTTCTGCATTTGCAAGGTTAAAGTAGTAATTACTACTATGAATTGAAGTAAATTTTGATAAAAAGTACGAAATTGGAGGGTAATAAACGATGTTTTTTGAATAGCAAACATTATTGTCTAATTTGCATTTGCTTTACTTAATTAGCATTGTGAGTTTTTAGACTTTTATTTTATATTCTCTCAATTTTTAGACATAAATTTATGCTCTAATTTTTACTTTTAATTTGAGATTTAAATGAGAAAACAAATGAAAATTTCGAAGAATAAAACGGATTTTTAGCACAAATAACAATTTTATACTTTTATTGAGCTTAAAAATATACAAATACTTTGCGTGATTATTTCACTTCACATTATTCACTTCCTGTTTATCATTTGAGACACTTTACGAGTTAATATCGTTTGAGTATGGATCATTATCTATCTGTGTTATTTATAATTCATTCATTTTGAAAATATGATAAGATACTATTATTTCGAGTTATTGCATCGTTTTCAACCCTTTCTGGGAACCTTACGTGAACCTCAATTCTTACTTAAACATTCACGTATTATATATAAAAGTTATTTAATAAATATTTGCACGCTATTTGATGTAAAACGTAAAACGCTTCAAAAAACAGACAGCTTTTACAATGTGATGGGATTGTTTATTCTCTTTGTTCACACTAACAACTAAAATGGCAGTTTATCCCTTTCGTTCACTTTCTCTCCTAAAACAATCAATGAATCAGTTTATTCCATTTTGATTTTGGCAATTCAGTTCTGGTTCACAGATTATTTACCATTCTTAATTTTTGAATTAAATATAAACTTTGCTAGATTAAAACGTACGTAAAACCAAATAAAAACGTAAGCAATTTAAGTATCACGTCTTGCTTTTCTCTTCTTTATTTTACCGCACGGCCGTGAAATGTGCATAACTGAGCACACTCACAATTACGTCATCCATTTCTCAAACCTTTTCATCATCTCTTTGCTTACTTTCTATTTCATTTCATTTCATTTCATTTCTCTTAAGAATATTTTAATAATTACTGTTGTTGTCATTATTACTAAGATAATAGTTAGCGTGATTATTAACTTATTTACTTAAATTATTTATTATTAGTGTAAAACTTATTATCATTATTTCATGATAATCATAGTATTCTCATTATTACTGTTATTATTACTATCATGCTAACGCTATTCACCATTACTACTAAATTATTCTAATCATCATTCTTATCATTATTATTATTGAATTGTTGTTGTTGTTCTTATTACTACTATTACCTTACCACAATAATATAATGATAATGGAAGTCAAGAATAATTTCTTACTTATAAGAGTTCGTGTTAACACGAGCTTGATAGTGAAAATAATATTTATAATAGCAATAGTAATGATTAATTATTATCAACATGTTGTTAACAGTTTGACTAGTAATTGTTATTATTAACAAAGTAACGATGTTACTGTACTTCCAATAACATCACTGTTAATAACTTCAGGACATATTCTGGGGTAATTATTATTGACAGCGTTGTTATTATGAGAGTATTCAGTTGTGCTGAATTGATAATTTCAAGTATGTTGGTGTAATCGATATTTCTCCTTGGCAGTGTTATCTATCATGAGAGATTAACATTTGATTGCATTATAATTTTATATTCAAATTTGTTAGACAGCGAGATTTTATGCAAAATTAATCTTTTAGGAATGAATATTAGTGAGTAATTACAAATTTGTGAAAGGAAAGATTAGCTAAAAATGAATTTACTATTTTTTTAGCTGTTGAATTTTTGTTGAAAAGTGTATATTTATTCATCTATCTTTTATCCATTTGTTAATCGATCTCTCTATCCCTCTATCTATCTATCTATCTATTTATCTGTCTATCTATCCACTGTTTGCAAGAGGAATGAAAAAATTAGGAAACAATAAATGTGAAAGACATTTGTAGTGAACAGAAAGCAATGGAAGTGGAAAGGCAGTCATCAAGTGGAGATGCATCAATAGATGGTAGTACTGCTAGTTTGACAAGAATGCAACAAAGAGAACAAGAATGTGCAAGTGTTGTTGAATCGCTGATTCTAAAGCTTGAAAAAATGTCTGATTCTTCTACAGTATCTCCTGACAACTCTAATTCTTCATCTTCTACAACAGCTCAGCATACTGATGGTGAACATTATCACAGTCACTCTCAACAAGTTCACAATCATAAGCTAAATTTTTCGCAAAAAGAGGGCAACTATGTTCAAAATATTCAACAAATATTATCATTAAATGAAGAGACATCAGATTGTAATAATGATTCTACAAAAGTGACAAGTAATGAAATAATGACAAATGATAATTCAGTGATTACAGATGATTTCAATATCTATTTGGATGACAAATATGCAAATTGTGATGAATGTAAAACAAATTTGCAAGTTATTGATAATAAGGTAGTCAAGAATAATAGTAATGAGGAAGGTATGATGGGATTGAATCAACAAAATACGAGTATTATAGATACAAAACATCTAAATCATATTCAGGTTTTAGAAGCAAGTAATGCCGAACTTACACTTCAGAATAAAAATGATAACAACAGTAAAGCAATGATGACGAATACAACGGATGACTTGGTCGATAAGGAAATTTTTGCCACAGATAATATTCGCATTGATTCTTTTAATGGTAATGATAATGATAATATGAGTGCATTACGGAATGTTGATCAAGACGAGTTCAGATTGAAGATTAAAAACGAAAATGAAAAGGAGAAGGCAGAAGTATTCATGGATTCTAAATATATTTCTGAATCTCAAAAAGTTATCCCTGAATCATTTGAAGAAAACATGTGCAAGCAGAAGCAACAGCATTGTTTATTGAATGAGCATTTGAGATCAACTGAAAATTTGTCAACACTGAATGAAATAGTGGAAGATAAGTTGACAGTTTCCAAGAGATTTAGTGAAGAATTGAGTATTGTGAAGAATAAAGATGAAGCAGTTAATCAAGACGAAGAGTTATCTCTTGATTGGCAGCAAAATTTTTTAAATGAATCACAATTATTCCGTTACGACAATTCATCAGTTGCTGAATTTGAGGTTTCAAATGATTCAGAAGCAATGAAAGATTGTGAACATAGCATAAATGGTGAAATGACAGCCCAAATGAAAAGTAAATTTTATGGAGTTATTACTGGGCTTTGGAAGCATACAGGATTCAGTAAAAAACGTCAGGGAAATTGTGAACAAGCAGCACAGAATGTTTCACTAGAATCTACAGATATATTATCAAATGATGTATGTGATAAGAATTCAATGTTGCGCCTGCAATCTTCTCAATTATTTCCTTCCAATTCTGTTTCATCTTGTGAAACTGGTACAGATTCATTGGTTAAATGTGTAGATTCTCACGTTGAATCTAGTGATACTGTCTTATTTCATGAAGATTCTACGTTCGATACTGCACCTTCGAGTACTTCCACAGCTGGCGATAATTTGTTATTAAATTCAGTTAATGATAAAACTGATATAAGTACGACAGAAGTTTTAAACGTACTATCACCTGATTGTTCATATATTCCTGAAGAAGCAAACAAAAATTCAGACGATTCATGGGAAAGATCAGAATTTTTGAAAAAAAGCAGAAAGATGAAGACAGAATCAACAAATTTGTTTGCTTTCGGTCATAAGGTAATTAATTATGCAAATCTTTGTTATTGTTGTGTTGAACTTTTCAACTTTATCACTTCTATGCTTGATATCTTAAGCACATTAATAGTGTGAAGTGCATTAATGCGAATCACTTCAGTGTTTTTTAAATCATTACTTTTTAGTATTTTTATGCATTACTTGTTGATATTTGTGTTAAATAAAAAGCTTTGAGAGTAAAACACGAAAATTTTAATGTAACAATTCAGTTTCTCCAGTTGTCTAGCGTATAATCCACTGAAGCATTTAATAATCCAAAAAATAAGTTTTTTCTAACTTGTTATTTTTGCTGAGCTATTAAATTGCTATATATTACAACAATAATTGCTACATATTCGATTTATTTACTTATAGAGCACTTTTTATTGTCTTCTGTAATTTGCATCCTTATTTGGTGAACATGGAAATTAATTATTATCATCAAAATTAAATTTACGATCATCGTTTCATAGCTATATCATAGACAATCTTC